CGTCGCCCCGCTGATTCTCGTAGCGATGACTTTCGCCGCCCCAGCGCCGGCGCTACGGGTGTCTGCATGCGCACCGCAGCTGTGCGCCTCCACGCCGCTCAGTCCGCGACACCCCATTGTACTCTGCCGAAGTTCTTCATGGTAATCCTATTCCTTGCTTACATTTCTTTCCACTCACGCCCTACCTAGCCTTCTTCAACGTGATGTGTTTCTCTTCACACCTGAATTTTCTCGCTGCATATTTTTTTTTATTTTTTCTCTCACACACACATTATACATTTACACACACACACACACACACACACACACACACACACACATATATATATATATATATATATATATATATATATATATAACGAAGTGATATAACGAAGTGATATAACGATATAACGAAGTGATATCGAAGTGAATCAGAGATATATAGAAGATAAACATACAAAAGGTAAGAGGATAGAAATATTGGCAAAAGAGGAATTAATCGTACAAATTGAAGACTATAAGAATCCATATGTTCTACTCTTTTTGTATTCAGTGTCCTTGCCTTTTTGTCCTCACGTTCTAAGCATTATTTTTCGGCAGCTTTCAGCCTCTTTTTTTATACACAATATTTCTCCACAGTTTGTTTAATGTAATATCATTTCCGTTCGCTCTTTTGTGTCTTCTTTTCTGTCGTTTTTCTTGTTTTCCTTTATCTTGCGACAGTCGTTAGATCTTTTCGTCACTATCTCTCCACCCAAAACTTCAAATTTCCATTTAAGAGTATCACAGACTTTTTACAATAAGTCCCTCGGTTTTGTAACGGACATGACTTTATCTCTCATAAAAAGGAAAATATTTCAAACGATTCAATGAGGAAGAATGTTCATTTCCGAATTGTTATTTCATTTGCATCATTAATCTGAATAATTTAATTGACTATTTCGTTTATCTACCAAGTCCTTTACAATTCAGACCGCATTATTCCACTTCTACAGGTAAATCAAAACTCATGTCATTGTTTTCTTATTCCTACCTTTTTGGCGAGTTAAACAGTCGATTCTTGAGGTCTCCCTTCCCATCTTCAACTTCTATTTTCTGCTAAGAACTTATCCCATTTCTGTGTTCATATCTCGTCCTTACACTATCTTTCCTGACACAGTTTATCCTGAATATCTGACTGCTGTTACTATCTCACGATATTATACTTTTACCTCTTCTTCCCTTTCCCCCTCTTTCACTTCCTCCAATAGTTTATAATCGTACTCAGGCACCGTTATGCGTATAAGCCCTCCCTCCCACACACTCGTTCCTCCGGCTTCCTTGTATTCCTTCAAATTATCTCTTTTCTATGACTCGACATCTTTTTTGTGGTTAATGTGACGTTTCACGTCCTTACATCTCTAGATTTTTACGTTCATTGCTCACTTTATAGATGTCTTTATTTTCGAATCGCCTTCTGTATCTTAGACTTTCTTCTACCTTCCAAGAATCATCTCCTTTAGGCTCCACTTCTTGTGATCGTTGTTCTCGTTTCATCCTTCAATCTTTTGCCTCTTTCATTCCACTTTCCTTTCTTTCCATTACCCATCAACATTCCTGAATACCCAATAGTGTATTCTCAAGCACCATCACTTCCTCTGCTTCCCCTCTGCACAGTTTTTCACTACGTCCTGATTTCGAGCTTCCACCGCTCTCTCACTCCCTATTATTTTGTATTTCCCTTCTTGTCCTTCCACCTTTCCTTTTCTCTGCCGTTTTGTCTTTATAAGTATGCCTCTTCCGTCGTCCTTTAGAACTCTCCTCCCCGGAACACATCAATTTCAGTTCTTTTCTACGTGTTCTCTCTCCCTTCCCTCTGTTACATCTTGACTTCCATTCTGTCCTTCCGTTCCTTTCGAATTCCTCACCAAGCGGGTCCCTTCCTCTTTTCTCTCCAGTTGCATCCACTATCACCACCTCCAACAACACCGTTGAGCTCTTCTTAAACCAGACCTGCACAACGCCTACTCGCGGGCATTCTGCACTTACGAGCCAGCCGTCTGCCCGCGAGAGCTGCCAAAGTGCAAGTCGTGGGGAGTGGGCAGCTTTGGCGGGTGGATGGGAGAAGCCGGAGCCAGGCGACGCGGCGCGTAGATTGAATGCATGGAAGCCGAATGCAATGATACATGCAGTGAAATTATTTACACACTTATTTAAATGTGCAATATACCTATTTCTATCTGCAAGAGCGATCTTCCACATCAATGTTCTTCTGTGCATTACAATGGATCGACATTTTTTTAAATTTTACTGTCATTCTAAGTCATGAACAATAATTTAAAGCAGGGGCTTCTTTTAAAAATGTATTATGTAATTTAAACTTTAAAAAATTGAAAATTTAATAATTTATTTTTCATCAGGAATGTTATAATCTTTAAAAGATACCAAAACGCAGGAAATTCAGAACAGTTTCTCTAATCGAGATTGATATAAAAATGAAATATAGGCAATTCCACGAAGAGTAATGTTTGGCAGCACACATATTTGTAACCATTTTATACCATTAAGAAGCTGAATAAGAGCAAACCTCTTTTACGAAATTTTACGAACAATCCTGACATTTCCTGACAATATTGAGTGTTTTTATCAATATAACGCAAAGGGGGTTAATCTTTTTACAAAATGTAACGATTATGAATAAATAGTGTTCGTTGATTTGAAATTAGAAATATGTAATGTACTTCTAACGGAAATTAGAGAAGAGTGTAATGATTTTTTAAGAATAAGATTTTGACACAACAAACTTAGCGAAAAATAATTTATTATGGTCATCATCAAACAAAAAATATTTTATATTTAATAGCACGCTAAATTTGTAACAAACATTTCCAAAATAATAGGCAATGATACTTGAACGGTATGTAATAGTCCGTTCTATTTTCCCAATTGCTCTATAAATTTGCGAGCTCGATTAGATTTGCGCAATCGCATTTGCGGTCCCTACTTTTAGAATTAGTCCTATCCCCATTCATCAACGCAGCCAAGGCTTGCACTCAAGTTGCTCGCGTGTGGCTCCCGTCAAAGTCAGAATGCAGTCCTCTCTTAAACCCGTCTCATCCCTCGCCAGCAATATGTTTTGAAGTCTTTTTATTTACTCCATCTCTTTTTACTTTCCCGCATACCTACGTATATACTGAGTAGTATATGTAGTATAGGGAAAGTTTTATAATACTGCGGAAAATAGATTTCGAGATTTTAACGAACAAACACATTTTGGGGTCCCCTGATACCGGAAACCTGGTTCTTTTCAAAACATCCGTCCGTCTGTGAACACCACTAAAGCCGAAACTATACGTACAATGTTTTTCAAAATGGATATTCCTCGTTTGATCTGGCTCCACTCGAGCCGCCGCGATTTTCAATACTTTCTCTAAAATTTGGAGGTACTTTACATGTAGCCCCTGGGATATTTTCAAAACTTTCTCAAAACGGCTCAAAATTTTTTCTTTAATTTTTTTAGAACAGAGTAAAATACACATCTAAAGGTGGCATAGATCCGATTTTCACTGCTAACTCTACAATTTCGATAATTGCAAAAGTTTGAATTTTTCCACATCTTCCTATAGTTACAAAATTGAAGATAGATATTTTTCCTGCAGTTGAAGTTTGTTCTCCTTAGTTAGTTCTTTCAATAATGGCATGTACATATTTTTGAAAACGTTGTTTTCAAGCCATATTGCGAGCAATATTCGTAATTTTAAAAAATTACAAAACCAAGATTTTCTCAAAAACGGCTCTCAATTTTTTCTTCAAATCTTTGTTAGAAATTTTGCTAAATGAACTCTATAAGATGACAAACGCAATATTGGTCTACTTAGTTTTTCAAACATTACAAAAATTTTATTTTTTTGAATTGTCTCTCGCGTTGTTAATATTTATACTAGCGGCAATTTGTTCACATTATTATATTTATGACAATAAGTGCTTTAAATAATGTCAGATCGAATTACTTGAAAACTTAACTATTTCCTTTAAAAATGTGCTCAAAAGTCCGCATTTTCAGAAACACTCAAACACCATTTTCCCAAAAATCGCTCCAAATTTGTTATTCAAACATTTCCAACGGATAGTCCTAACGCCTTTAAAAAGCATATTTCCAGCGATTTGTAAACGCGTTTGCATTTGTGGATGGAATTGCTTGAATTTTCTTTAAATGATGCTTCTCAAAAAATCAAAAATTTTCTGCCAAAATAGGTTCAAATTTCGAATTTACAGTAGCGCTTGAACGCCATTTTCTTAAAAACGGCTCCAAATTTTTCAAAGAAAATTGCCATTTAGAACGACATTTTACTGTTCTTTAATATTTTAAAAATAATATTTCCGTTATACTATTAGAAAATCAAAAAAAAATTCAAAAAATGTACTTTGGGCGACGACAGATGACAGATGACTACAGTGGCCAAGACTATGTGGCAAGTCCGAATAGCCAGCCGAGACCAAAGGAAATAGAAAACTAATACGGGAAAGTTTGTGTCATTCTGTAGCACTACTAATTTCCTCCCTATTCAACCTTCAATGGTGACTCATCCTTCCGTTTTTGTAATTTCTCGCCAGGCTCTTCCTCTTTTCTCCTTTTTTACCACCTACAACATTGTGTTCCGATTCCTCCGCCCCCTCTCGTACTTCCACCGCGCTGCCTGGCACCGCCTCGTCCAGCTCCGCCTCGTCCCGTCACGTCACTACCATCTCGCTCCGCTCCGCTCCGCTCCGGTCCGCCCTGTCCCGCTCGGTCCTGCTCTATCCCGCTCTGTTTCACTCACTCCTGCTCTGTCCCGCTCCGCCCCGCTCAATCCGGCTCCGCCCCGCTCCTAAATTCTCCGCCCGATCCGCTCGTCCCTGCCGCCCCGGCCGGCATCGCCCCGCCCCGCCCCGCCCCGGCCAATCCAATACCGGAACCGACCCGCCTAGCCCCTCCGCCCCCCCGCATTGCCACGCCTAGCCCCTCTGCGCCCGCATCCTCCACGGAGCTGCGCCGCCCGCCGAGTCGCCCCGAGCCGTCTGGCGCCGGCTGCCGTCCTCGGCGCGGTGCGGCGCCCGGGGGCTACTGTTTGGCGTCTTATCGATTCGCTGACGCATGACGACATTGTTGACATTTCTATTTTCTTCTCCCTCGCCGCGTGAAGAAGTGTGCAGAATGAATTACAAATAAATGCCTTCCGGAAGCTATATCGACGAGAAGGAAAGAAAAAGAAACGTCTCGCAAATATTTGTTCACATTACGGCAAACGGCGGGGAAAGGAACAATCACGACATTTCGCTTTGTCGGGGAATTTATTTTGATATTCTCATTTTAGTTTTATTTCATACAAAATGTCAGCTTTATTGCATGTAAATGCGACAGCAATCCGGAACTTGATTGGAATTCCAAGAACGTATTTTATTTCAAAAAATACTTCGAGAAGCAATGAAATAAACACCCACAATTCGTGCTTTTAAGACAAAAATATTTGAAATACAGTAACGTATTCTAAGCAGAATTTGAATTGTCATTGAAAATTATTCGTAGTTCTTCTGAATGAAGCAAACGCAAAAGCAATGAACATTTTAAACGATTTGCAAAGAGAAAAGGAAATATTCCTGAAACAATGAACTTCTATTTTAAAGTTTTCAGAATAATCTGCGACGGCACCAAACAAGTATCTTAGAAAAGCTTCACACTTCATTCAGCCTGATATTTGAAATATCACATTAAAGTGGAAAGAAGTATTGTAAAGAAACCTAATTCAGATAACGCATTTTTGAATGGCTGTTAGCTACACTTGGAGGGGATAAAAACAGCAATCAAACTTGATACGTGAAATACGTGAGCAAGAAGTCAGGCTAGGGATTCATCAAAGTCACAGAGGCTGTAAATCCCCACTGCATGATGATTAATTGTCGGCTGTTGTGAACACAGCTGCGGTTGCAACAGGAGCAAAGCATAAGAGACAATAGAGAGATTTAAGAAGTCAAAACTGAAGAATCAAACACCTCGTTTATGCATATAATTGTAGAACACTCATTCTTCACCTTTTTGAACATACATAATAGAATGCACACTAAACAAACTGTAAGGATATTATTGCTTGAATCATTTATGATATTGCCCATTAAAATTAGTTTTATTTTAAATTTATGACACAAAAAATATGATCGATATCGATAAAATCGATAAAAATATTCAAAAGAGTATCAATTTATATATTTAAAATATGTGACGTTCTTTCAAGACGTTCATTTGGCGTTTATTCTGAATCTATTGTCTTTATTCTCGCTTTAAATCTTCTTGAAAAATTGATGAAAAAATGTTCTGTAGACGCCGATAGGTATGGGTGTATAGGCCTCGGGTATGGGTGAGACAATATTCTATAACTAAACTAGACCAAGGCTAAAGAGATAGGGAAAGTAACAAGTACAAAAAAGGTCTTTGCCATTCGGAACACAATTAGTTTTATTGGTGTTAGCGGGAAAGATAAAAACATCTACGAAGCAATATATACAAAGAATTCACACAATTATTAGATAATAGTTTTTAATATTTGGTTAGCTATTGAATCAACATTTATTTTGATTTTCATTTACAATATAAAATTTACATTAACATCTTTACGGTTGATCGGAAATCAATAATACATTCGGTTACCCCATTTCTACACATTGGTTATTCTTGACAAGTGCTTCGTTACTGTTCATGTAATTTCGTTTAAACCATTGTTAAATAATACAATACCGTTAATATAAGTTTTTACCATTTTCCCCTCAAAACTATTATTAGATCTTGAATGGTTGAGGCCACTTCCGGAGAGAATTTCTCAATGAAAGTTACTTCCTCAATGTTGATTCATTTTGTGTTGTAATATAATAAGCAATCCTCCAAAGGGAAAACCGGCTCAGGGCATGAATTAATGTCACTGCAGTCCCTTTGACTGGGAGTTTCTAGTGTTCGAAACCGGGCGGCGGCAAGAATTTCGACAGTAGCTAGATAGCTGGGTCAAATTCAGCCGCTGTCTGGAGGAGAACTTTAGCAGCCGGCTGCTCTGATCGGTAGTTTTCCGAGGTTTCTCCGACGACCACCAGCAGGCGAATTATGGAGTAGTACTCTAACAAACGGACCACGGACTGCGCGAGATCTTTCCTTGGATTTCCCTGTCCTTTCCTCATCCCTTACTTACATTTGCACATGCACTTACAGGCATTACACTACCATACATACCGAGAGACCAGTCGGGAGCTTAGAGTGGAGCCCAGCCGTGCAGGGAGACACCGCGTTGGAGAAAACCCCGCAAGCCGACGGGTAGGTCGGCGCCGGACCTTGCAATCCTGTTGGGGAAGATCACCGCTACCTTCCGTGAAAAAAAACATGCACTGTACTTTACGAGACTAATGGCCTCACCAGCTGACTCGCCCGGAATCACTAATGAATCAATCCGTCGAGCAAAAAGTGATTTGCTGCACAGGTGCCAAAATAAAATGACTGTAGATAAGTGTTTCAGATTTTGCGGAGTGAACGTGTGTCTGATTGCAACATTTTATCATTTCTTTCAGTTATTACCGTCAAATTTTGACAGGTTCCAATAAGCTTTCATTATTATATTTCAACAAGTCTATTAATAGCCTTTTCTGGGTTATTTTCTTTGTTTTGTTGTCTATATTCTACACGCCTCTGTCAGAACGCATGCAGAGACATCTCGACTCGCTGTGCCTGATCTAATCAATCGTATATCCCCAACAGAGTGAAAAATAAAATGTGCAGGTGGTAATGAAAGAATTACTGCAATAAATGATTTCTATATCCTGCCCTAACGGTCTCTATGCCCATTTTGTTTGCTAAAATGATTTTTTCCCACACATTTGCTCAAATTTCGTTTCCCTCAAAAGGATTAGAGTACAAAATCTAAAGTACATTAATAACAAAGTTTTAATCAGCCCGGACGTCATGTTCACTTTCATTTAGAATAAAAAACATCTTTATACATATCTTTGGTAAAAGAAGATAAATGTCTTTTATCGCTCTTCACTTCCGAGATACAGAATTGAAAATTTCAAAAATGTAAATTTGAATAAAAATGTTATTTTTATTTTAAAAATAATATCTTGCATAATTTGTGCACCAAAGAAGTGGAGAATCGCAAGGAAAATCCTCATCGTAAAAATATATCTTATAGTTAAACCAGTGTATTCAAACATGAGTTGTGCCAGATTCAGTAGAAGATATTTTTATGACATTTTCGGTAGTCATTTTCGAAATATCAGTATTCCCAGTAATTCGAAAGACCTCTAAGTAGGCCAGAAGTCTGAACCACAGATATTTATGGGGCAAATAAAAATCTTCATCGCTCTATTTTACATTAACATTTCTATCAATTGAGACGCAGGTAATTAGCATTGCAGATGTTAGGTATATTTTTACTAAAATAGGTAACTTTTCACCAAAACACATGTAGATTTTATAGTAAGATATAGCATATTCCTGCATGTCTTGTATTACCTGCAGTACTTCATTTTCGGCTTCAAAGCTTACTACTTCCCCACTTTGCAGGATTCTTCGTTTCACAGATTACATTTTCCGCGTGTCAAAGGACAGGTGCTGCCAGCGCGTCCCAAGAGGCACCGACATCCCGCACGCAATTCCGAGAGTACGGAAAGAGCTCATCAAATCCGAATGTCGCACTCGTTACACCGCACGAAGCGCGGCCGCGCGGCCGTGAGCGAAGCGCGCCGGCGCAGCGCGTGGGAGGGACTTGTGTGCGAGTCACAGAGTCACTAGGGGGCGGTTCGGGTGACACGCAGTGCTCTGCGTTTCTCTCCGGTAGGGCAAAATATCGCATCTTTACCGATTCGAAATGCCAAGTTTTAAACCCCTCACTATAATATCCTATTCTTTTGATCAGATTTCTACGTTTCGTTTTTGTTGTTTTTCCTAAAATTCTTTCTCTTCATAGAATATTTAAGTGCAGAAACTATTCAACAACCGTGTGTTGTATGTGTAGTATTAAGTCATTCTAAAAGAGTACTGGATGAAGTTAATAGATTAATATTTGACGCAAAATCAACATCTTCTGAATGAATTTGACGAAACGCGATACACTTCTCTATCAGTTTCACAAGCCGGCCATTTTGAAGATATAAGATAGCATAAACAGCATAAACATTGCAGAATTTTATCATAAAAACATACAGCGTAAAAACTATACTTAATTCAAAATAATTAGAAAGATAATTCACATTGCTCACAATTTCGCTTTCACGGCATAATTCCTTCAAATAGAGTATTTATACCCCTATACACAAATTTCCTTTTCCAAATTATTCCATTTTCTTTGAAATTTTTAAAGAAACAATTTCCTGACTATCACTTGACGTAACTTATATTCGATAACACTGTGTAGCACTATTCTATAGGGTACCAATCTAAAAAATACCTCTGTCGATGTGAATACTAAACTAGACATATAATTTCAGCGTTGAAATGACTAGTGTTGGAATTGGTTGTTATAGAAGAAATAATTTTAACATTGTGTTATAATCTCTAATCTTTTGTATCATTCCAGACAGACATAAATTTCTGCTTCCAGAAAAATTTTCTAATTACCCCCCCCCGAGCAATTTTTCCTCATCTTTACATGAAACAATTACAGGTAGACTTCCTTTTTTTCTCTCACATTTAAAACAGATTGCGGTTTACCATTTAAGTCAACAGACATATAACTCAGTTCGTCTTTAAATAATTATTTGATATATGTAGCCTTATAAGTAATATTAGAAGCCTCGTTTTTTGAACGTATGAACAAGCAAATTTCATCCCTTAACCTGTCTGCTTATTTATGTGAAAGAAGTCTGCATAATGTCTAATGAAGGCCAATTTTGATCAGAAATGTCTTCAACATCTAGCGATTCCACAAAATTACAAGCAAAAACCGAAATAAAATGAGCTTTAGTCCGTCTGTTTTCATTTTCCTTGAGTCTTTATATTGTTCTTTCTTCACGCTTTGCTAGCGTCACATCGATTGCACCAAGACATGGAATTGTCCGAGGCTCTCTTTGATTCAGTAAGAATGTTCGTTCATCTCCTTTATGTAGCGTAACTG